GATTTTTGTGTTCCGAACCCATAATATAGCCCCTGTTTCCATGGAAATAATATTGGGGACATACATATTTTTTTGGTTCAAATTATTTAAAATGATCAAATTAATAACTTCATGGAATTTGATGGAATCGGTAGATATGTAAAACGTTGATTTTTATATTTTTGTTGCCATGGCAACGGTTTCACTTTATCAAGGAAAATTGAAAAATCTTCTTTTTTACCCAATTTTTCACATTTTTGATAACGGAAAATTAATAGTTTAAATAATAGAAGCATGAATTATACTAATTCAGGTCATTTTAATTATAAAAGTTTGATAATTAATAAAATAAATCAATTTTTTCAATGAAAATAATATTCGAGGTGAAATATGAAATACGTTAAATTTGGCGTCTTTTACTAAAAAAATGGGACGGGCAATATCTTTGAAAATCATATTAAATGATGAAGCTAATCTCCCTGAATAAATTGATATATGGCATGTGTGCATATTAAAAAAAATAAAAGTTGGAGGGAGACGCAAACCTTACCTTAAAAAGTTGTTGGGGAAGTGTAAATATGATTCTTTTTTCCCAGTATGTGTTTATTACAACAGTAACTTCATTAACTTGGCTAGGAATATTAAATTATACTAAGAAGTACAATAAACATTTCGAGAATAAGAAGATAACTAACATTTCACTTAAAAATTAGAAGGAAATAATGTTGAGCTCTAATCAACAAAGTGTAATTGAATTAATGCTTGTTTATTTAAAGTGAACTAAGAAATTTTTTGACTTCTTGCATATACACTGTACATTTAAACAAATAATCATTATGTGAAGTAAAAAAAAAGAAGATTTTATCATTTGAAAGAAAAAAATAAATGAATGAGAAATAAAACTCCTGAATAGGGTTTAAAGGAGTTTATAACTGTGTTTCCTTCATTGTTTGTAGTTGGGAGGAATTGTTAAACCCAATGATGGCCTCTGTCATCTTAGCCTTGATGGAATGTACACAGAAAGCTCCAATCAGGTAATTGTTTCCCATTGTTTAATTGATTGAAGCTTACAATGATAATTAACATTTATTATGTTTCACAAAGGGTATCCAGTATTAATTGCAAAAAAAAAAAAAAAAAAAAAAAAATTGGAATGTTCATCCATTCTGTTTTTGAAAAATAATGCATGCATTTTAAGAACATCTTTCATCTGGTGTAATTGTAGAAAGTGCAGGCTATAATATAAATCACTTCAACTTCCATCGAATTGATAGATATGTGTGGCCTTGTAATCTTGCAGTGTATGGTTCACGCTTAACAATCATACCAATATTAAAGAGAAAACATTTTTCACAGAATCTGGCACTTTTGTAAATGTAATTTAATAAAACTTTCTAAATTTTATTCAGGATTACCCCTCCATCAGCCAGGTAGCTGTCAAGGCAAAGGAGAAGAATGTCAACATCATTTTTGCTGTCACCCAAGATCAAAAACCAATTTATGACCAGCTAAAGCCCATCATTGCTGGCTCTGAAACCGGAATCTTGGCCTCAGATTCTCAGAACATTGTAAAACTGGTCCGAGATAACTACTTGGTAAGGGAAATAACTTGTGCTTATGTTTCAAAGAACATTGATTTTTTAATATGTATATCTTGTAAAAACTGGTCCAAGATAACTACTTGGTAAAGGGAAATAACTGTTGCTAGTGTTTTGAAGAACTTGGAATTTTTATATGAATACTTTGGTAAAAGTGATTATTTAGTTTGCAAAGGTTTGGTTATTTTTTTATGACCATTTAATTACACTGTATCATTATCAGTAGTTGGGGGATGTATTGTCTCCTAAATGTGTTTTTGACCACAGTGCAGATAAGACTATCTAGAGCTTGCACCAAGATGTGACTTTATATAATTTTGTCAATTTTACATATTTTTATAGGCTATCACCTCTAAAGTGGAACTTATTGTGGAAAACTCTGATAATGTAGATGTAAAATTCAAAACAAAGTGTTTAGGGTAAGTAATAATTAATTAATAACTAAATATAATGCATAAAGAATGAACATCATTGTAAGATAATTGCTAGAATTAGTTAAAAAATGGAAAATAAATGTACTATTGTATGTAATGTACACTTGTATAATATAATAATATTGTAATTGTATAATGCATTTGATTTCAAATTACAGAACTGAGATGAAAGATACAAACAAGTGTGAGAATCTTCAAATTGGACAGTCTGTGAGTACACAAGTTTTTATCAGTCAAGGATTTGAGCTTATAATGATGTGATATATTTATCAACTCGCTAGTTTTTAATTTTTCTGTATTAACTGCTAACCATTCATTCATTAATAGGTTAACTTCAGTGTGACCTTGGAAGTGAAGTCATGTCCACCTAAAGGTCAAGAGGAAAAAGTGCTGAAGATCAAACCAGTTGGATTGTATGATACTCTGACCGTTAATCTGACATTTAAGTGCAAGTGTGATTGTGAATCTGAGGCTATCATGGTAAGTGTATGGAAGAGTAACCCCTCTTACCCCCTGCCATCCCCCCACCCCCATCCCCACCCCCAAACCCCATCCCACTCATCTCAGCCCCTGCCCCCTGAAAAATGCATTCAATATCAAGAATTTTAACTTGTTATATCTCAATAGGAGTGCAAAAAACCACACAAACTGTAATGTCAGTGGGATTATTTTTGTTTATGATGCATACATTAAGAATTTTCACTTGAATTTCTTGATAGATGGACAACAAAAATCACCCAAACTATAATGATCATGCTAAATGTCAGTAGAATTATTTTTGTCCTTGATGCATCTATGAAGAATTTTCACTTGTTATATCTCGATAGGAAGCAAACAAAAAATCACCCAAATTGTAATGGCAGTTAGATTATTTTTGTTCTTGATGCATTTATTTAGAATTTTCATCTTTTTTTATCTCGATAGGAGGCCAACAAAAATCACCCAAATTGTAATGGCAATGGCACGTATGTGTGTGGTATGTGTGTCTGTAATGAGCCGTATTTTGGAGACAAGTGTGATTGTAACAAGGGAACAGGAACCATCGCAGACAAAGAGAAGGAATGTATCCAGTAAGTCTGTCTAGATGTATGATTGGTTTTGAATTGTAATTTACAGGGACAAGAATACAACTGTACAGATTACATATCCAAACTTTAAATTTAATAATTTAATACACAGTGGAGCCTCATTTATCTGGACGCTTTGGTTCCCAGTAAATTTGTCCGGATATGTGAAGCGTCCGGATATCTGAATTACCATTTAAATGAGACAAAATAACGTTAAAAAATTCTGTTCCCATGAATAATCGTCCGGAAACCGAAGCATCCGGATATCTGGCGTCCGGATATCTGAGGGTTCACTGTATGTTGAACATTTTCTAGAGACAAGAATACAACTGTACAGTCTAGGAATCTGAACTTTTAATTATTATGTTGAAAATTTTTTCATAGACAATAATCTACTTTTGTATAGTCTAAGAATACAAACTTTAAATTAATATGGTGAAAATTTTCCATAGACAAGAATACTACTTTTGTACAATCCAAACATCTCATCTTTAATGTAATATGTTGAAATTTTCCAGAGACAAGAATACAACCATCATCTGCAATGGCCGTGGGGAGTGTAATTGTGGGAAATGTATCTGTCGGGAGAGACAGAAGGGTACAGCACAGTTCTACACGGGGACGTACTGCGAGTGTGATGATTACAGCTGTCCGTACTACTCTGGTCTTATCTGCGGAGGTGAGTAGCATACGGAAGATTTTTATTTATAGCATCAAACAGAGCTCAAAAGCCATTCAAAGAAACGTCTCATCAACTTTCCAAATAGAAATTAACAGTACATGTATCTTTTTTGATCTTAGACAGTTAAGCCTGTTTTGATGAATTCTTGCTGTATTCTTTGAAAGGTCTTAGTCGAGGACAATGTGATTGCGGAACCTGTAAATGTAACGAGGGCTTCAAGGGAAAGAACTGTGGCTGTAGCACAGACAATACTACCTGCCTCTATAATGGGGTGAGTAAAACTTGTTTTGTACCAGATTTTTATTATGAAGAAAGTATACACTTTCACTGGAGTTACATAGAAAGTACAGAATGAGTAATATACACACACACAATCTTCATAGTTCCTGAGATAAAATGAGCAATGCCTCTAAGTATGAATGCTCTATTATCTGTACTTAACTATTTATGATAAATACTTGATATAGCATCTTATATATAAATACTTGATGTATCATCTTATTTTACAGGAAATATGTAATGGACAAGGAACTTGTGAGTGTGGCAAGTGCACATGTACCAATCCAAAGTACTTTGGACCTCAGTGTCAAGAGTGTGATGTAAGTAAACAGCAACATACAGTTATTGACTTCTCATGAGTTCTACTTCCTATTATATGGACCTGGTCAGGTATTGTTTGGAAGAGAAATTAAAAAATTTCTTGATGTTCAAAGAGACATAATTTCGTAAATACATGTAGATATTTGAAACAATAGATGTTTCAATTTTATGGGCACTAAATGTTGAAGGAGAAATTGGGCACAAATGTTGGTATATGCCTTTCACAAAGTATTATTTTTTTCGTTTTTGTAGAACTGTGGAGCCAAACAGTGCCGTACCCACCGAGATTGTGCTTTGTGCGTGGGATTTAAATCCGGAGAGTTGGACGCGAATCAATGTAAAGAACAGTGTGGCCACACAACAGCCGTGCCAGAACTCAGCAGTATGTCTAATATATTCTCTTACTTCTAACCAAAGCTCTATCCTCTGAATTCTATCCAAAGCAGTGTATTAAATTGTGTGTTTTTATTATCTGACAAAACTTTGCAGTGTCTGTTGTTAATGTCTGATAAAACTCTTATTTGGTGCCATGTTTACATGTATTTAAACCAAATTCAGAAGTTTGTCCTGTCTGTATTGTAACTATTGATAAAAATGTGTATAAATACATGTAATGCCATGGAACTTGGAGGAGTTGTAAAGATATGATTTTCATGATGGTTATATGATGCTGTTTGAAAAGTAAAATTTTCATCAGAATTTTTTGGTGTTTTTTGAGTTGATAAACAATCCATTGTAAGACTGTGAACAAATTTCTTTCTGTTTATTTGCATCTTTTGTTAAGCATGCATATATTTATGTTTTATTTTATTTTGTTTTAAGCAAGGTGTACAGATATATTTATAATTTTTTTTATATTTTTACAGAGAAGGGTATAACGAATTGTGAATATGTGGACAGCAATGGCTGCTTTATCTACTTTACTTACTTTTACGATCAAGACAACGCAAACCAACTCAAAGTAGAAGTTTTACAAGAACCAGGTAATTAAATTTGTTTTAGATGACATTATGAAAAGGAATAAAATAGATTTCGAATTTAGTAGTAGTTAGGGTTTTAACTTAGTACTATTCAAGTTTTTAATTTTTGTAAACTTGTTTACCAGAAAGTAGTTAAGAGTTGCACACTTGAGACTGCAAGATTTAATGTCTCGTGGTTATTTTATAAATATATAGCTGCAGTTTGAAAATAGATAGATGCATTGAAATAAATGTATCAACATATGTCAGTTATAAATAAACTAAGTTTTTGTTTCAAAGATAAAACTCTTACTACATTTAGTTGTACAAGTGAAGTTCAAAATGGAAGGTGCTTTAAATTTGAGGAATTATTTATCTGTTAATTAACTTAACTTCCCAGACTGCCCGCCCGAGGTGAACGTCTTGGCTATTGTGTTAGGAGTGATAGCAGGTATTGTGTTCTTTGGAATTCTTCTTCTGCTCATCTGGAAGCTGTTTACTACCATCAGTGACAAGCGAGAGCTGGCCAGGTTTGAAAAGGAGGCTCAAAATGCTAAGTGGGATACGGTAAGAATCAAGTGGCAAATTATATGTAGAAATAGTCAGATTTAATGGCAAAAACGAATATTTTGAAACTTAAGTTAAAAGTTAGATATACTTGTATGAATGCATTTGAGACATTAACCTTTTGATTTTAATGTACCAGAGTCTTTAATTTTGTGATTTATTCTGTTTTCTGTAATATTTTTTTACTAAAAAGAAAGAAGAATTTTAATCTTTAATTAAGATGATTAGAAATTGTAGAAAAAAATATTAACACATTCATTAAAATTTCTTTTCTTTTATTCTAAATGGTAAATAAATCAATACTTATTTTGGGGGCAGAAAATGACTTTCATGGTTTTATTTTATGCATTATGATTATTATAAATTGCATGTTATTTAATCAATCTTTTCTTTTAACAGGGAGAAAATCCAATTTATAAAAAAGCAACATCAACTTATAAAAACCCAATGTTTGGAAAAAATAAATAGAGGGCATGCAGTTTATTGAATACCAAAGACACGTAGTTTTGTAATCATTATCTGACATATTGTATATGTATTGTAGGGGGAGAATCCAATTTATAAGCAAGCTAC